GAGAAGGCAAAAGCACATTGAAGATATTGTGATATAGGAAAAGGTGTAACTCATGAAAGCTTTTGAAAGACTCCTCTGACTTTTAATGGAAGTATTTTTACTGCTCCATCCCTGTAGGTTCCAAAAGAGTTATAAAATATCCCAATTGTAAGCCACTGCTTTTTGTCATTTTAGTTCTTATGCTAGCTCTATAATTCAAGGAATCACATTGTGGCTGGGGCATAAATGGTGAATCCTAACACATGTAACAAAAGTATCTTCTCTTTATTGCTGTTGGAGAAAAAGTATGTGTAAATAATGTCATTTTACTCTTAACATCATGACCTGAAAATGCTGCTGTTAAAATCTCATTCATGTAAAAGTTAGGAGAGTCGTCATTTCCATTACTGGAAAATACTCATAGTATTAAAATTTAAAAAATTAAAAGAGAAAATAAGGTGCATATATTGAGCATTTATTTAGTAGACAGGAATCTCTAGTATTAGTCCCTAATTTGCTTATTAGTTCTATGACTGCAGTATCAAGTTTACTGATACTTACGATATTCTGATATTTTATTTCTAAACTAAAGACAATAACACTTTCCATTTCAAAATGTAGTTTTGTGGAAATTTTGTCATGATATGATGCATTTTGAAAAAATGCAAATAGATATATTTCTTGAAGGCAGTATTAAATCATAGCTTTTGCGCAAGTTTAGAACGTGCCAAATGCCATTTCCCTTTTCCTCCTAACTCATCTTTCTGACTCAGTTTGGTCAAATCATAGAACACTTTTTAAACTATTCAGTTTTTAAGAAACAGCTCTTAAAGGAAGTAAAGAATCTGTTCACTCTCAAATGTCTTCAAACTTGTTCCTATATGTGTAGTGTCCCAGATCATTAAATAATGATTGTCATGTACAAAAGTAATTTATTATTATGAAAGTGAGGTGATTATTAAGTCACCAGAGAAAAACCCCTCATGATTAGTTTTAGTTTTATTACCTTATTATAAAGGGCAACTTTAAGATAATTAAACAAAGGCCTTTAAATGAGTTTCTTCAGCATTCCATTCAATGTGTGTGTGTGTGTGTGTGTGTGTGTGTGTGTGTGTACATACATACATATATATGCACACACAATTTTACATACACACACATATATATAAAATACTAACCTTTCAGTAGGATGTTAGGTTGGTATTCTACTGAAAGGTTAGTATTCCTCTGCTACATGCAGAGATTTGTAATGTCAGTCTATTTGATAAACTTCAGATTTCACAATTTTTTAAAGATAAAGAGGTTACTACCTATTTCACTCCTGGAATTTATATGTAGTAAATTGAAATTATAGAAACTAGTTACAAAGAAGTCATAGTCATATAATCAAAAAAATTTTAAACACCATATATCCATGTATTTATTCATTTCTTAAAATCAGTATTTATCATGTGCCCAGAACAGTGCCAGGTGCTAAGAATAAAATGCTAAAACTAAGAGAAGGACTAGAGGCACCGTAAAGGCTTGGGCTGTATTCTGCGTGTTGTATGTGGTTGCATGTTGAAGCCATATGTCAAGTAATAACTGAAAAAATAACGTTTCCTTTTATTGTTTGCTTTATTTTAGATTTTATAATTTTATAACATCATTTTTTCAATCTTCTTTGGACTTTTTGAATTACTTCAAAGCAATTCAAAAAATAATTGACATAGAAAAGCAAACAAGTCTTTCCACAGAATTGTCGAAAGTAATGTTTTATGAATGCATTGACAACTGTGCAATAGCAACATGCTAACCATCCCCCACAAAACATGGCCAATCTATCTGTAGTAATGGCAAAAGAAAGAAAGTAAAGCTATTCTATGTTCATTCATGTTACCACTAAAGACTTATGGAACAAAAATGTTATTTCTGATAGAAAAAAAAATGAGATCTGTCAAGAAAACTAACCAGTACATCAACATTGATTTTCACTTTCTAGAGGAGCATATTTCCTTAACCCCAAGTAAGGAGTTTTCAAATATTAAAAGTATTAATATTTTACAATTTGGGTATCTGCAAGAATTGGGGAGGGGGATGTTCTCTCAATAATCATGAGATTACTTTCATTGATTTTTTTTAAAATGTCAGCAGTGCTGATGATCAGGCTAGGCAGTGGTGAACGCCTATAAATCCCAGCTCCTTAGGAGGCTGAGGCAGAAGGCTTGCATGAGTCCAGGAGTTCCAGACCAGCCTGGGTGACAAAGTATGACTCCCTCATCTCAATTTTAAAAAACTAATTATTAACATAATCCCTTCAAATTTGTTAGTATTAGCAATTTCTTTATTTTTTTTCCACTGTAGTATAATTTATTTCAATGGTAGTAGTGGTACAAATGAAGATAATCATAGTAAAAACGCAGCATATTGTCATATGTGATGTGTTGGAATCAATTCTATTCATTCAGTGGCTATAATGGGTTCCTTCTCCACTGGGCCACCCCATCCCCACCAACACACTTTGTTATGTGTTTTCTTGATTTGCTCTAAAAGTGCCATGTTGATTTTCTCACATTTCTCCCCATGACATTTGTACCTCGCCTCTCGTGCATGCACATCCTGTCCCCTGTAACCAAATTTGAAAATCCCTAGTATTTTAGAATTGCTTAAATTTGCTTGTATCTACAGCCTCTTTCAGTTCACCAGTTACTCATTTCCTGATCTGCTACAATGTAACATCTTACCATCCTCAGGCTATTGAACTTGACCCTCTAAGATCACTGAAGACACATGTATTTTGAAATACTGTTCCTTTTCCATCTCTGCCATCCTCAGTGCTGAGTACTGCATCCTCAGTACTGCAGAAATCAATATCTCTCTAAGCTTCCATAAATAAGATGAAGTCACCCTGTGTGTCATATAAAGTGCTTGGAGGCAAGCAACAGAAACTGGTGCTGGCCATCGTCAATATGAGAGAGAATTCTTAGCAGAATGGAGGAACTCATGGTTAATGGAAAGCTGAGGACTGGCCAGGAAAACTGGCAGGAATGAAGGGCTGCTGGCAGCAGGATCCTCAGGCAGCCAAGTGCTTGTGGCTGAGGCAGGCTGATGTTCTCACACCCTAGACACTACACTCATTTCAAATTCTAGGTTTCTTTCTGCAGGAGTCAAATCTCACTTCTTCTCTAAGAGTCAAAGTCCTAAAAAGAGCATCTGATTGGATAAGCCATATAGCATTTCCATGCTTCCTGCCACTCCCAGTCCTGGCTGTTCCTGCAGAATGTCTCCATTTTGGGATTCCAGGAAACTGTGTCACTGTTACTCAGAGAAGAACATGTCTGGCTGCTCCTTTTTGACCACAGGCTCCTCTCTCTGGCCTGTCTCCATATTTTCTTTCACAGTCACACTCACTGCTTAATGAGCCTCTCCCCAGCTACATCTTTCATCAGTCCTGATTTTCCTTCTTTCTTTGAATCATCACGGCCTGTTAGATACTTCCATTTGAATAAATAACTATCATCTTAAACTTCATATGTGTAAACCGAAATGCATCATCTTTCCTCTCCTCTCTCCTAAGAAAGCCTTAGCACTGTGTTACCTCAGGCACCAGCACATACATGCTACCTGACTGCCTTCCTCCAGGCTGAAAGCCTTGAGCAACTTTTCATCCTCAGTTAACCCCTGCTCTAGTTCCTATGTTCTCTTTCATTCCATTCATTTAGGAAATCAGTTTGTTAAATTTACTATTCATTAGTGACTCATGTGCAACATGCCTGGTGCTGTACAACAGATCTACTGATGGCTTCATTTAAAACGTGAACTGCAGTAAGACCAATGAAGTTCAGAAACTATATGCTAAATAGGTAATGCGATGGAAAAAAGAAAGGAAGAGAGAGAAAGGAAGAAATAAGGAAGGAAGGGAGGGAGGGAAGGAGGGAGACAGAGAAAGAAAGAAAGAGGGAAAGAAGGAAAGAAGGAAGGGAGGGAAGGAATGGGGGAAGGAGAGAGAAAGAAAGAAGGAAGGAAAGAAAGAGAAAGAAGGAAAGAATGGAGGGAGGGAGGGAGGGAAGGAAGGAAGGAAGGAGAGAGAAAAGAAAGTTTATTTTACTTGCATATTCTAGAGAGGGGGCCATTGCATCCCACCCAGGATCACTGGGGATGCATCAGATCTAGGTCAGATGGCAGCGGGCAGGAGTCAGGGGAAAGCATTAGGCTGGAACCTGTACTAGAGTCTCCACAGGGTGGGGAAAAGGCAAGGAAGAGAAAACAGTTTAGGCCTGGCTAATCATAATTTCAGTGTGCTCTGAACTATAGGGGTGGTCCCTAGTTGCCTGGTACCTGGCCCTAGGATGATTAAGTCAGAGGAATATTGCCCCCTGGGAAGCACAGGCTAGATAGAGGTGTGGCTCTGGACTGCTGAATTTGCATGAGAAAGGCACACTCCTGCTTCAGATCTCTGAGAGCTGACCACCTCCAGGAGAGACTGTCTCTTCCCCAGCCAGTAAAGGTTTTCAAGATTTTCTGTATATCATAATATGCAGAAAATTAAAAATAGATGCAATATAGAAACAGACTTTACAAAGCTTAGTAGACTTTTGTCACAGGATCTTCATGGTCTCAAGCTAAAATATTTGACCTGGCGTGTGTGTGTGTGTGTGTGTGTGTGTGTGTGTGTGTGTGTGTGTGGAGCATTAAAAGTGAAAAGTAAGAGATGTTAGAAAATGCAGGTGAAAATATACAAATTATTATTTTAGTGTTTCAAAGACACCTGATAGTGAAGGAGAACATGTAAGCAGTAGTTAAGAGGAAAGTATAGACTGGAAACAACGATGTATTGCAAACCTACTGCACACATGACACTTACTCTAGGAAGTCAGTAACATTACAAAAACACAAAACTAAAACTATCCTGTGATTTCATGCAAAACGAAAATTGTCACAAACCTAGATTAAAATCATCCCACCTGACATCTTTGATAAAAACACACAGAATAAAGAAGAGAGAATGTAAATAATACAGATTAAGGAAGATTGTTACTCACCAAGCCTCCTTGAAAAAAAACTTCTATAAGTTGGCCTGAAATTGAATGGCCCCGTTACTGTCTCACATTTGTGATCCTGGGATAAATTGTCCTTCATGGAAAGTGGAGCTGTTACTGGACATAACATTGAACACATTCAAGGAACTCATAGAACAAAAATGTAATCTAGACTACAATTTATAATTAAAACTTTTCACAGAGCTCTGTAGTTTGCAAATGTGATAACAGAAAGAGGCACTGGTATGTGTTAAATGTCAATGATGAGTTTTCCTTTCAGTGTTCCATCTGTCACCACAGTAAAGGAAATTTCCAATTATGGCTCTAGCTTATGCGATTTTGAAGCTGAAAATCTTTCACAGTATTTGGGGATGTGAGAATTGATTTACTTTTAACTACTTTTCCTACATTTATTTATCACCCTTTCATACACTATAATTATTGCATAACATTTATTTACTAGGTACTAAGAGATAGGACTAAAATGATAAACAAGGAAGAAATGAACCACAACCTTGCAGAGTTGACCATCGACTAAAAACACAAACAATAATCAAGAAATTACAGTGCAGTGTATTCAACATTAGGAGAAGTCCAGAGTGAAAGAAACACAAGGTGCCATTCCGCCAAGGAGTTAGAGATGGATTACTAAGAGAACGGAATCTCAGCTGAGACATGGATGGGAGTTATTGGGGCAAAGATGGGGAAGAGGACTCTCCCAGGCAGAGGTAACAGCAAAAGCAGGCTAAGTCACGCTGAGAAAACAAAAATGATACCCAAGTCTCAGTGGTTTAGAACTAGAAAGGTTTATTTAGTATTCGTTCTATGACTGTATGATTTAATGTAAAATGAAAATTTTCACAATTCTAGACTTATATTGCTCAACATCTTTGAAAAAACACACATGCAAATAAGCCTGATTAAGGAAGACTGTTATTCCTTAAACCTCCTTGTGAAAACTTCTGTAGGTTGCCTGACATTGGATGACACTTACAGTCTCACATTTGTGGCCACCACATGATGGCCACATCTCTGCTCCATGTCTTCTCTCCAGGACAGAGGCTGATGAATCATCCTCCACCTGGGACCTTGTTTGTCTTGTGGCAGAATGAAGTAAGAGATCACATTGAATGGCTCTTAAAGCCATCCTCCAAAAGTGATAGCTGTCAGTTTTGTTTACATTTCCTTAGGCAAAGCAAGTCACCTGGCCATGTCTACAGGGCAAAGAGGTATAATATTCCAATGGGCAGGAAGGGACACCATGCTGAGAAAAACTGGACATTATGGCAGAAGAGTGATGCCATCTATGAATAGCATAGATAAAGGAAGAATCCCAACATAGAACTCAGCATAGCTTAAGACTTGATTTCTATGTAGCTTGAGCTTAGACAGTGAGGCAGAAAGAGATACAGGATGAAGCTGGGTCAATAACCATGAGCCAGATGGGGTGAGCTCTACAGGACACTTAATTAATTAATTAATTAATTTGAGACAGGGTCTTGCTCTGTTACCCAGACTGGAGGGCAGTGGCGTAATCATGGTTCACCACAGTCTCTATCTCCTGGAATCAAGCAATCCTCTTGCCTCAGCCTCTCACATAGCTGAGACTGCAGGCCACATTAAAGAGTAGAAACACGATCATAAATCCTTTGGGTAGCCATTGATGGCTGACTGTAGTGTGGAAACTGAATGAGAAACAGTCCAGATTGCAAGAAGAGGGGCCTGTCAGAAAGTGTAGGCCTTAACCCAGGTGAAAAATCATGGGATCCTGACCTAGATAAATGCAGAGAGAATGGAGAAAGCCAACAGGATTTAATAAGCATTAGAAAAACTGAATCACCAGCAGCTGGGGAGTACATGGCTACGAGGAAACACAGGGAAGAAGAAAGGATGCAGTTCAAGTTTGGGTTTGTTTAGTGAAGGATGGCATGGATCCCCATGCAGAAACAGAGGGGAAGCAGATGTGGAGGTAAGACAGTAAATTCCTTTCGCAACAGTTTGAGTCTGGCTCTTTTGGAAGGCATTCAAATAGAAGTTTCCAGTAGGTGGATACACATTTAGGTTGGAAGCTGTAGAAGAAGGAATCTGAGCTGCAGATACAATGATGGGAGTCATCAAAATACAGGTGGTGAGCAGAGCTGTGGAGTGACTGAAGTCCTTCAGGGAGCTGGTATGAAAAGAGAAAAGGGGAAAGAATAAAAAGATTATGCGGCAAAACACCAAAACTTCTGCAGAGAGATTTTCTCAGGACTTTATTAAGAGCATGTATTCCTGTACCTTCAATACTCTGTCAGTAGAGTAAGGGCATTTGTTATTTAAAAAGAGTCAGAGATGGTATTCCTCAAGACCTCCCATAGCATTCCACATAAAGTGGCCTGGAAAACAACTCAGCAGTGAGTCAGACAGTTTGGGTGTTAGCTCCCTACTTTGCCTCATAGCAACCCTGTGTACTTGGAAAACCCCTTAATCAGCCATGTCTTAATGCTGTCATTTGTACGACTAGGATGCTGGCACCTCTACTCCATATGGAATCAGGTTGAAAGGGCTAACAAAGCTATATAATATTGGGGAAAAGCCCTTTGGAAGCGGAACGGTCTTTTAACGTAATTATAGTTAATATCATAATGTTCTCTCTAGAGCAGGAGTGGGGGGGCGGGGAATTCCTAAATCTATTTTGAGATCTCATAAAATCTGGAGAAAATAGAAAGTCCTTTGCCAAACCTCGTAAAAGCAAAATTGACAGCATTTCTGATATGACTCATTCTTCCTTTGAAAACCAACTATCAAATCAGATAAGGGTCAACTCATTTTAAATAGAAGCTTAAGGAACATAAAACTTGTAAAAGTACTTTCAAAATGAGACTGCTGTTCTTTTTCACATTGCTCATTTGGGAGGTGTCTATTAGTTACATATAAGTTACCCTTTACATAAAGCCCTAATCTCACCCTACTCCTAATTTTTAAATTTTCTCTTCAGGCAGATACATTTGTATGAAGGCAAAAGTAGTCAAATTTTCCAATTATAGTCTCAAATCTTCAGTGATCTTTCTTGTGATGCTGCTCTCAGTATTAACCAAAAGCTTTGAAAATCTTTACATTTATTTTTTAAATTCCAGAAGATTTATCTAGAGATGAGAGGCATTTGAAGTTAGACTGTTTATACTGCCAATGACTCAAGGAATGTGTTTTCTATAACTTACATTTTCAAGCTGTAATTATAATTTTTTGAACCATTTTTAGCTCTTTGGATTACAGCCAGTTCTTCACTGTCACTGTTTATGTGTTTGAGTTCTTGTAAACTCTGATTTAGAAACACTCTAGTATTCACTATCCAAGCAGTTTATAAGAAATTTGACTCTTGGTTCGTATGTATGTTAAGTGTTTTTTTTACATACTCTGCCAAGAGTAGGACTTATGCTTTCTGCTATCATCTCTCCACTTTATTTTTCCAACCAAAAATTGTCCCAACATAAAAACATTGTGCAAGATTCCATGTACCATAGAAAATATTAACTAGGATTTTTTTCTTTTTTGAGGTAGGATTTTGCTCTGTTGTGCAATCATAGCTCACTGCAGCCTCGACTTCCTGGCCTCAAGCAATCTTCCCTGCTTTAGCCTCCTGACTAGCTGGGACTACAGGTGTGCGCCACCACGTGCAGCTAACTTTTGTTGAGACAGGGTCTTGCTATGTTGCCCAGGCTGGTCTTGAACTCCTGGTCTCAAGTGATCTTTCCACCTGAGCCTCCCAAAGTGTTGAGATTACAGATATGAACCTGGTCATTAGCTATGATTCAAAGCGAGAGAATGAAATAAAACCTCTACTGAGCATTTAATTAAATATCGTCAGGTTTTGTGTGATAGAATATTAAATATATGTTTAAGGATGGATAAATAATATGATTTGTTTTGACTTTTCAGTTAATTTCTAAGCTCTATTATCCCTAGGGATAGTAAATGTCAGGTGCCTAGATGGGCCATCACTCACCGCCCACACCCCAAACATCAGAAACCCATCACTACACATCTTCTCAATGAGTACTCAGAATCTTTCTGAACACGGCGACCCAGGAAGCACCTTTTGATTAATCAGAATTTTCACATAAGTTGAAACCTATTTGCCACCCGAGGGCAACAGTCAGGATAAGTAATAAGTACCGGTAATCATATCTATTTCATCCTACTTATCTATGGCAGATATGTCTTAAATGGAAATTTTATCTTTGAATATTAGAAAATCTCAGTTGTGAATTAATTTATGCTTCAAGTACTTAGACAACCATGTATTTTTCTATAGGCATTAAAACTATATTTAGCATAATAAATTATTACCATTATACCAGTACTCTCTCTGTAATCCTTCATTACCATCACAAAACAGTGGAGTGTCTTTAGAAAAATGTTCATGTCAACTGTTCGAGCGATGATAACATTAAAAGCCCAGACTTCACCCCTACGTAATATACACCTAGGTAACAAAACTGCACTTATGCTCCCTAAATCTATAAAAATTTTAAAAAGACAATGAAGCATCTTTTAAAAATTGCTAAATAAATTGCTAAAATAAAATGAATTGCTACTCATTTAGTAATTATTACTATACTTATTTCAAGTAAATTGGTAATTTAGCAAGGTAAGAGTATGTTGATTTTAAATCTCATGTGAACTTTATCACTCCCATGACTACAGTCTAGTTTTCCATGTTTCTGCTAATCTTTTCATTTCTATTTGTAAAGCAGTAACAGAATAGACATTTATTATGTACCAGTGTAGAAAGTTATCATTTTGCTTCTAGAACACATCCACTTGCCTCTTATTGAAAGCATTTTCCTATTTTTTAAATATTCTTTTGGACTCTTCCAAATGAAATGCTACTAATTACATTGTTGAGTCACATGCTATAGCCTTTGAGATTATGCAGATGTGTGTTGACAAAATTGCTACTTCAAATGTTGTACAAGCCTAGAAAAAAGTATTTTAATGACTAGGAAAAAAGATTTGTTAAGGAAAGCAAGTTGATGGTAAGCAGCTGTTTCTTTTTTAAACATTCCTTCTGTTGGACTACGTTTTGTATCTGTCTCCCCTTCAAGTCAGATCTTCAACAGATTCATCTTAGTCATTATTCATTTAATAGTAAATGTCTGGTAGGATACAGTATTTGATAAGCTTCACATCTGGTTGGTAGGTAATGTAAGTGGTATAGTACTCCTGGCTAGGATCTTTGGACAACTTTATTGGAATACACAATTTTTAGTTGACAGCATGAAAT